ACTGATCCAACTACCTGTCACATACATACTGAGAAGTAAACTGACATCCTCGAGGTAATCCCCTAATCTTAAAGACATAAAACTCACACTGAAACTAAGTAAAGACTTCAGGGTTTAATTTCAAAGCATTCAACTACTTTGAGAGATACAAAAAAGAATACCAATATTATCATCATCATCACCATGGCTAGGCTTCGCGAACGAAGATTTGGGAAGGCTCTACCCACGTTTGTTACAAGCACACTGGTGGCTAAAAAGGCCAATACGAGATAGGCATGACTGGTTGCAAAAGGCACAGCAGAAAGACTCCTTGGATGGTATATTCTGCAAAGCACGATTCTTTCTGCATTGTCTTTTCTCCTCAAGAGTGATCCTGCGTGCTTCCTCAAAAGCATCAGCAGCGTTATAGATGCTGTGTCTCCAGATCTCCCTATTGGAGGCCAGAGTAGACCAGTTATATTGATCAATATGGCCAAGGATGAGATGTTGCTTCAGCGAGTCCTTGTATCTTCTCTTCAGGGCTCCTCTTACGCAGCAGCCGGTGGCAAGTTCCCCATAAAGCAAGATCTTAGAGAGGTGGTGGTCCTTCATCCTTGAGACGTGCCCTGCCCAACGCAACTGTGTTCTCAGCAACATGACCTCGATGCTTGTTCTAGAACAGACATGTTAGTCACATAATCTGACCAGTGGATGTTTAGGATTGTACGGTGGCAGCGTTGATGGAAGCGTTCTAGGGGTCGCAGGTGGTGGCGGTAGATGATCCATGATTCAGATCCATACAAGAGGGTAGACAGCACAGTGACTCTGTAAACACTGATCAGTGTTTACTGATCAGTGACCAATATAATGCTCTGTTTTCTAATGTATTTTATACCTCTATCATATTTTAAATACTAAGTGTTAAATCAACAGCTAATGCTTTTTCTTATTTTTCAGGATTTTAGATTCCTCACCTAGAGCTAATACTGCAGGAATGCTGAGTACATGGACATACTCTTTTCCTTACAAAAATTATTCGTTACTAATGTACAATTAAAAATCAAATGAATGTAAATGTTCTTAAACTAGATTCTGTTTAGGATTCAAAAGTTTCTTTACTTTCTTGATTATATTAAAAGCATATTAAAATTATTTGTTTCCTAGTGTTATGATGTTTACAACCACATGTAATTCAGCTGTAAAAAGTCAGTGTGTGCATGCAACAGACATTGCCTCTACCAACACTCTTAAGTAAATAATTTTTCCTTTCTAAATAAAAGCACTCAGCTAGAGAGTTGTTTGAATAAGAATGTTTGCAACACAAATACAAAAAATTGATTTTTTTTTCCGAATATGTGATTTGTGCAGTCTTTAAAATCACAGCTTATCTAGACAGGCCAAAGAAAGTGTAGTTTGATATTCAAGATGATGTTTTCTCCCTCTATACTTCCTTTGCTGTAGTCTATGGACTTGTGGCAGTCTGCGGGGTCAAGTTCAGTACTCTGCAAGTGATCTATGGAATTATATTGATGATAAAGGAGTTTTACAATCCCCAATAAGCTTTAAGGTTAACAATGTTTCACTGGCTGGAAAAAAAGATGAGATTCTCTATTCCCTTAATAAAAGAAACATGAATAAGTTGTATGTTTTGAAGAAATATCTTGACTTTAATTCAAACGAAATATAATGGCATCATTTTTTTTAGCTATTAAGAACACAGATGCACTCTGGTTCTCATTCAGAAGAAGATTTAATTGCAACTGGGATTAGGATTCACTTGAAAATTCAACTGCTTTCAATGTAGACTTAAAGAAACTCTACTAAGAAAAACAAGTCAGCCTCACAATCTTCCCAGCTTCTCTCTCTGAGTTTATTTTCACACCACAGTTGTGTTAAAACATGATGTTTAGGTTGTAATTATGTTGAAAGTAACTAATCATTCAGAATGGGATGATCTTCATGGTCCCTTCCAACTCAAACCATTCTGTGATTCAGTGTAGGAGCAGACTAAAGTTTTTAATATTGTATTGACTGGTCATGGCTTGAATTGACCTCACCATTATAACTCCTGCTTCTGCAATTTTGGATGAGCAGCAAAACTTCAGAAGGTAGCTGGGAAAGTGATGGCCTCAGAGGTGTAAGCCAAATTGAGAAGACCTTTTCTTGATCACTCATTTTTGCACTGCTGTTTGCTGTGCCTCCAGTTGAACTGGCACCATTATTTGTGAACTGAGGATCTAGTTACCTGACCCCTGCTCAGAACTAATGTGAGGCCTGCCACAAAATTGCATTTTATAATGTATTGTACTAGATTAGGCTATTTGTTTGAAGTTTTTCCTGCAAGTGCCTTACACCACACAGCTGACAGCTCCCACTCCAACAGGCAGGGCATGAGCAGCCCACAGCTGAGGGCAGGGCAGGGAGTGTGGTGGCCACCTTTGGTCACACCAAACCACCTGAGAGTGCCACCCTTTGACATTTTATTCCTTTCTTCTGGAATTGTTTCAAATGGGATGTGTTTTCTCAGCAGCAACCCATGAAGGATGGGCCAAGTGGACAGGGCTGCCCTACTGCCACTGTCCTGCCACCACAGGGTCAGGCCAGCAGCCTCCGTGAGGGGCAGCAGTGCCGGGGCTAGCCATGCAGGTGGGCACAGAGCATCACCCCAGCACTGAGCTGGCCAGGGGAGGCAGCGGCTGAGGGCAATGAGGGAGTTGGGGCAGTGATGTCAAGGAAACGGGAGATTTCAAGTGGGTGGTAGGGGGCATTACTGGGCCCTGAAGCACCACATCATGCTGCTGGGACAACCAGAGAGCGGTCTGGAGCAAAGACAACTGCTGGGAAGGGAAGGCTCCCTCAGCATGGCCAAGCCTGCCACAAGGCTCTGCAGAGCCCTGCAGGGCAGGGAGAGCTGGGGCTGCTGCTCTGGTCCTGCATAACCTTCCCAGCCCCTATGGGGTCCTGAGAAATGACAGGTGGGAGAGAAGCTTCTGTGGGTTTCCTTGTGCCGAGACATCAGGAAACTACGTTTCTAACCGTTAAGAATTAACTACCATTGCTGCCCTGTAAGAATAATAAAATGCTACAATTTGTTAGCTGAACAGTTGTAGGTGTTCATATTTTAAAAACATAATTGAGAATTTGTTTCATGTCATTAGCCAGAAAAAAAGAACTGCAAATTAAATTTATTAGAAGTGTTATTTACATGTAAGGATTGATGTTATCCAGGGTGTGGTTCACCAGCTGGTGGTGATTAACATCATCACTGGCAGCAGTCAGACGTGTTATGAAAAGGGTTTTCTCTTGGGCTTGTGTCCTGCTGGTAAAGTAATGCTGTTTCAGTGATGTAGCTTCATACTCTGAAACCAATTTATGTTGGATCATTTTTGCTACTGCTTGGCTCCTTTACACTCTTACCATCAAATATCTTGAGAAGCTTTTGACACATATTTTCATTTATTTCATCAACATTTTAAATATTGATTTGATTCAAATTGTTAAAAAAATTGTTAAAGGTTTGCTAGTTTCTGACCTTCTCTTCCTTGAAGCAGGAGTTCAGATTTATCAGATACTGGTTTCTGTTACATTTACTGTGATCTAGGATTCTTGATCAATTTTTTTTCTTTTTTATTTTGTAGATGTAACAGCATCTAGAAAATGTCCAATATAGAACTGGTTGCACAAACGTATTGAATGTTGCAAGCATTAAATAGGTATAGTATAAAATGCACCATTGAAGTAAAATACTATGGAAAGATTCTATGTTGGACCTAGATATACAGAAAAACACAAGACGTCAAAATATTAAAAATATTTCCTGGCAAAAAGTGGTCAGAGCTTATCTTCTGGGTTACCTACATTCCAATTCCATTTCATTAGTCCTTTTTGCTGTGTGGTTTTGAAGTTATTTGTCCAGTTATGATGATGATTTTTATTATGTTTTTTAATACCTTGTTCTTCATAATCCTGCTATGGGAAAGGATTTGCATTCTATGAAGTGGGCAAATCTGATTCTGGCTTAAATCAGGCAATCATACACTAAACACTAATTTAGAGGCCAAAGTGCCTGTCTATCACTTGTGTTTCTTCTGTAGTTACCTTGGAGGAGTATTCCTAGTTATGTGGATTTTTTTGATAGCTTGGCTGTACCTAAGTCAAAATTCTGCTTTGGTGAAGGATTGAAAACTTGCAGTAAGACTGAGTGTAAGACACTTTTGTGTAAGTAAACCCTGAGGAGTAACACTATAGCAAAATCTTCGTTTGGGTTTTTCCTACTACAGACCCATTAGTGACCATCTAACTCATTTATGGAGCTTCTCCTTTAATTTTTTCCCAATGGATTGTATCAATTCCTTTTCAATCAAAGAAAGAGAAAACATTATTTTTAATTCTTATATTTTTATATGTGGATAAAGTCAGTTTGTGAGTATATTTGAAATATCATTTGGAGATGAAATAACCACCTTCTTAGAGGTAGAAAGTTACAGAAAATAATTTTCCACCTATTGTAACTATTTACAGTGGAGCAGTTCAACATCAGGATATCGGAGATTTGCAGAAGGAATAAATTATTCAGATGTGAAATCTCTTCTTTATCTTAGCAATAAGGCTCTAGAAGTTTGCAAGGCCAGAGTGCTGCATTAGTAGTGCATGTTGGTAGCAGTACCCCTGCCTGCAGTCTGCTAAGCCAATGCAATAGGAGTGTTGGAGGAACTGTCGTGAGCTGCTGCCACTTCCTTTCCACTTCAAATCCTGCCAAGCCTTACTTCCTTCCTCATGCCAGAGAAACTGGCAGAGATCAGAGTCTTCTTGCAAACCCACTGTTTTTAACTTCCTTGTGAGCGATAGCATGACTCTATTTACTCTCTTTGTGAATTCCACAAGTATTTTTTCATCTAAATTGCAAAGCAATTTTTTTACCTTTGTGAAAATCCTTGAGGCATGTGTAGTATTTGATCTTCATTAGAATTGGTTGCATTATACTCATGCTAAATTCTGTACAAGAGCCTTGTTGAATAAAAATGAAGCAGCTGTCAGTTGAAAAGGCCAGTGCAGTACTCATGGGCACGGTAATAATCCAATGAAAATCCTGGATGTTTCCTCAGGTAAAATTTTTGTAATGTACTTTTTGTTCAATTCATGCTGCATTATTATGGAATTATGTATATCACCAAATATTTATGTTATTCAAATTTATATAGTTATTTATTTATGGAGGCTTTTCAAATAAGTGATTATTTCAGGGCCAAAAATACCATACTTTTTGATTAGCAATCTGTTTTAAAATCTGCTTTACTACTTCCAATTCATATTTGAGGCCTCCCAAGTGTTGCTATTCTACCATTCCAACAGCAGCTTCGTTAAAATAAAGAGTCTTGTAATGTGATAATTTCAGTAGAAATGCAGTCTTATGAAAAGCATGCAGTTCCTTTATCTTAACTGTTGAATTAAAATTACCACAGAAGTCCAGTGTTATAAACATGGTGTATTATGTTAACACATTAATATTAATAATTGATTTAAAATAAAACGGTCTTCTGATTCTAGGTATGCTTTTACACATTTATTCACAGTGTCAATACCTTATTCTTAGTAGTTCTTGCTGTTTTCAGTTCTTAAGTGAAAAATGACAAATAAAAATTCATGATAGAGAATGGTCCATGAAGGTGTTGCAGCCTTAAAGTAATGGATCCCTTTTGTTCCACCTTCAGTACATCCAAAGCAAAAATGACTGGTTTTAATTTTTAAAAAGGCACACAAGAATCATTTGCTGATTTAATTTTGCTTTGTACTACTAAAACAGGGTCCAAATAAAGATACTGAATGGAATGACATATTGAAAGATTTTGGAATTCTTCCTCCAAAAGAAAAACTGAAAGATGAAATTGAAGAAATGGTTTTACACTCACAGAAAGAAGCACAGGGCAAGTAAAATTAAATATACACGCCAGTAGTATGATAAATTTTGAAAAGTGGGAATATTTTCAATAATAATTTTTATAACTTGAATATTGTACAATAATTATGTTTTAATTTTTATTATTTTCCCTTTTTTTTAAAGGATTCTGAATTAAACACACAAGACAGTTAGTGACAGTTTACACAGAATAAAAAAGCTAACTCCATCAAAACATTTCCTCTGTTTAGATTCTACCTGTACTTACTGCTTTTGAGTTTTTGAAATGATCAAAATAGTTCTAGTGCTAACACTCTGTATCTAGTGCTGTATTCTCACAGGAAGATAATAATTCACAGTTATGTGGAAGTTGTAAACTTAGTTCTAGTGCTAACACTCTGTATCTAGTGCTGTATTCTCACAGGAAGATAATAATTCACAGTTATGTGGAAGTTGTAAACTTAAACTATCTTGTATTATTGCTAGAGTATAATAACATTGTTTAACTTTTCTTTTTTTTTTTTTTGAAAAGCCACTTTGCAGTGGCTTTCAGTTAGTAAAATTAAGAGCTGCTTTTAGTTCAACAGATTTCAGTAAGGTATTTTCCTTTTCTACCTTGCAAGTATTTTTATAGATGAAGACTGCCATCTACTGTTTTTACATTTCAGTTTTCATGAATTATTTTAAAATTGGTAAATATTAGTATATATACTGTAATTCCTCCCTAAACTAATCTCATTTTCAAGATCATACAAACAATTAGTACCTGCTTTAATATTTTATGGCTTTTTCTCAAATGATAAATGCTTGTGCAACTTATTACTCAAGTTTCCAAAATCTGATACTGATTAATTAAGAAAATGTATTTTAATGTCATATTATTGAATAAAGATTGGCATAGAAAACTTTCTAAGGTGTGAAATTGTGATAGAAGACCTTAAGCTAAAGGGTTGTTCAATTTTTAAAGTAATTGAGATGCACTGGATATTATTTTAAAATGCACTTTAAATGTTCCAAATATGCTTATTTTTAGTTTTAGTTTTTAATTAGGCAACAAGACTTGCAAGAATGGAAATGTCTTCAGAGGAGGCAAAAGTATGGGGAACTAAGAGAAAGCAGTAGAAAGCAGTATGTAAATGAAGTTACAAATGCTCCAGAGGATGTTTGGGTTATAATTCATCTTTATTGGTCAAGGTAATTACATTCTTGCATAAAATGTTGAATACTTCAATACTAAGAATTGAACTGGTAATTAAAAAACAGTACCAGGAAAAATTAAATACAAGAGTCTTATGAAATAGCATTTGGTTGGAGGCAATGGAATTAGAGAGCATCTGACCTTGATTTGCTAATTCACTTAGTGTGAATTAATCACTTCACTTTTGTTCAATTATATGAAAAAAATATTTTGCTGTGTACACTTACCACCATGTATGTAACCTCACTGAATCTCTGAATTTCACTGAGAAAGCGGTGTCCACTCTTTGTAGATTCTTTTCCTAGCAGGAGTACTTTAACAGGACTTTTCTTTCCCCTTTATTTCCCCTTTGACTCCAACAAATCGAAAACCCTTCAGGAAAAGTTTCAGTTATGAAAACTGAGGAAAGCTAGAGGACTTGTTAGTTTATCATCTTCCCAGTGAATTCTGTAGAGACAGCAGAAGTTGTGATAGGATCCAGCAGAAATGTCAAAGGACTTCCATGATCAGTTCCATATATGTTAGCAACTCAATTAGATGTTTTTGAAAAGCACTGAGAATTACTATGGAACATTCAATAATTTTTTAGGCTCAGGCCAAATTTCATTAAAATTACAGCAATTTAAATTTACAGATCTGAAAAAAGAAAATAGCAGCCTTTCTTGATTTTCATTGGATTTGTATAATGGAAAACCAATTCTGCAATTTACTATTGCATAAATGCGAGTCTGTGAGGAAACTGGTAACTCCTTGGGAATGAATATGAGTATCCCCAAAGTCTCTCATGGCTTGTAACAAAACTGCGTCGCCTGCCTTTGGCCCCCAGGGTCCATAGGCCACATTGGCTGCAACAAAGATCCTAATTGCTAAAAGGTTAATGGGCTGAAGGGGAACAAGAAAAAGGGGGGTTTCTGTGTCTGGGTTTTTGGTGGAGTTTTTGGTTTTGTTTTTTTTTGGTTGGTTTCTTTTTTTTTTTTTTTTTTTAACTGAGGTTTATATAGTGATTGTATTGCAAATAGTAGCTATGGAAGTAATGAACAGGTTTTTGGTGATAATATGACTATACAAAGGTTTCCTTGATGTTACTTAGATTTTACTAGAGTAAAGAATTAATGAAATGTTAAACTGAAAGCTAGTCTAAATAAATTAAAGTAAAATGTATGTTACAGGTTCAAAAATCTCATTTAAACTCTACAATAAATGAACAGAATGAGCTTTAAAATCTCAGTGGGGAACAAAACTGAGGCACAGTGCTTGAAATGTCTGGTAGCTTTCATAGACTGTGCCTCCCATGTAATTTTACTTGCATAGCTCTTTGAATCACAACGATCTTAGAAGAAGCTAAATAAAATTTGTGGTGCAATTCTTATAGCAAATTGTTATAGGTTATAAATCTGAGAGAGGAATTTTTCTTTCCCTGCTTCCCTGTAAGAGAAACAGAGTTCGAATAGCGAAGGGGGAAGGGAATCAATTAGCCTTACAAAAGAAATGGCTGACCAGGATGCATTCCTGGCTAATGGCCCATTGAATGCTGGAGTGAGGGGGGGGGAAGGTTTTGGAGATTTGGGGAGCTGGCAGCCTGGACACAGATGGGAGGGCAGATTGCGGAGTTCGCTCTCGGGGATGGAGATGGGGATCTGCATGCGGGCATTTGGAGAGAAGGGCCGGAAGTTTTTCTTTCTGGCTTTTCGTCCTGGTGAGGCCGGACCACGGGACTCGGTCGGCTCGCACACTGCCTCGTGACTCCAGCCGGGACCTACTGGGTTGTCATCGGAGAGGTCTGTGCTTGCTGGGAGAGAAGGGAAGAGCCTTGGAACACCGTTATCTGGGAACAAGAAGAACTGCAGGCCCTGCACCTTCAGCGATCCAACAGTGGCCCCTGCAGGCCATGATTAGGACTGCGCTAAAGGACAGAGAAGTATTCATTCAGACTTTTTTTCTAGGACTACTGTCTAGTTTTTTTGTGTTCTGTTACTGTTTTTTGCCAACATACATATATCTTTTAATAAAGGGTTGTTATTTCTTCTGTTTTTTTCCACACTTCCTCGATTAAAGCCCCTTAATTTTGAATTTACAATTGCTGAGAGAGAGGAGTTTGGTCTATCTCATAACTCACCCTCTTTAGCAAACATTCCAGTCTCATCAGACTGAGACACAAATTAAAATAGAAAGAGACTACAGTATTCTTTAAAGAATTCTTTAGTTACTTTTCAAATCATTTATACCAGAAGTGTCATCATACTTTCTTCTTTTCTAGCATCCCAATGTGTTTACTGGTTAATGAACACCTCAACCTGCTAGCCTGGAAGTTTCCAGAAGTCAGGTTTCTCAAAGCCATTGTAAACTTCTGCATTCAGAATTACCATGATATATACAGTACTTGTATATAAACTAGTGAAATAAAAGGCAGGTTCATTGGAGTAGCTGAATGTAGAAGGTAAGAGAAGTACTTTTAAATAACTAACCATATGGAAAATTTTATGATGTTTGTGATCATTACATCTAAAGGCCACTGCTTAAAGAGTGAAAAGGTTTTTGATTGTTTTTGTAGGGGAAAAAAGTCTACAAAAAGCAAAGAACTAATTTATGTAATTCTGTGGTAAGAGTATTGCCTAAGCATGGGTATTCTGCAATGTCACAGTTAGATATTTTACCGAGATAAGGTTGGGTTGGCTCTATTTTTTATTGTTGTTGAGATGTGTCTTGCTCTTTATTTAAAGTCATTTTTCTCTTAAGTGAGAATTACCTGCAACTATGGGAATAAACTGTAACTTGTTTTTACAAGAGTTCAATTGAAAATTAGCAGAAGTCGGAGCAACAAAAACTAAGAACAAAACCCCCAAAAGGACATTATGAATATGATACTGCCAGTGTGAAGCACTTCTGCTCATGAAGACACCAATACAAAAACCAGTGATGTGATGAAACTGCTTGAGAGCCTTTTAATGCTTTAAACAGATCATCTGTTTGGCATAAGTTAGTTCACATACAGTTTTTTACTCCTGTGGTAAGCCTGAAACTATTAAAAACAGGGGAGGGGAAAAAGAAAAAACTTCTGGTTCGATTGTGTATTTTTTGGTTTTGATTTGTGGAAGAAAACTGTAAATGAAAGCCATACTTACCTTTAAATTCCTACAGATGGCTGTCATTGACATGGAGAGTCTGGATTCTCCATTTCATAAAAACTCTGCTTAAACGGAAAAGGGAGGGCATTAGCTGGTGGGCTCTAATCCATACTTTCCTCTTCCTTTTATCCAGTGTGGGTGCAAGATATTCCTTTAATTTTCAGTGACATTACTGTAGTAGAACTCTGCTCTGCAAAGTACCTTCTCAGTTCCCCCACTGAAAAGCGTGACCCAAAGACAATGATGCTTATAGACATATATATCAGGATTTGGCTGTGAATCCATTGACTAACACTTCCATTTGTCTGATAAGAGTTCAAGAATTTTCTCTAGGGTTGTAGATAATTCTCACACTATTTTAGAACACTGACAGTTGAATCAGTTTATCTTTCCTTACAAACATAACTGTATCTTTTACAAAGTAGTTTACAGTACCACTGTAGAGAAGCAAAACTACGTGAGCGAATGAAGAGGCCTTCCTCCTGATTCAGCATTTTTATTTCTTATGAGTAATGAATCAAATTGTATAGTATTAATGTTATTTTTCCAGTGACTCATCATACAAAAAAAAATCCCAGTGTGCTTATGAAGATTTAGTTATATGCAACTGACACGGTTTATAGCATTGAAATGCAGAAAGAAAAATGAAAAAGAATAGTTCCCTTAACACATGGCACACAGATACATAAGAAGAACAATAAAGTGAATTGATGACTGGTTTTTTTTCCATGCAGTGAGATATAGCTCTGCTATTGGTAGATACCTAGTGGCAGATACCACTTCTGGGAACTTTTATTTTGCAGATTCAAAGAGGCAACTAGTAGATAAATTTCAGAGACAATGGCTTATCTGCCATTATCTGCCCTTTAAACTACAGAGCTAGTTAGCAGTTTTAAATGTAAATAGGTCACCAGGGGCTTTAGATGTGATTCCACAGTCATTTCAAGTACCAATGTTGGCTGCTGCAAAAGGAGTACTGCCTCATCTTATCAGTGACCTCCCGGCCACTACTGTGGCTGCTGTGAGGTACAACTCACAGCAATTCACAAGTGCCAGTGCTGTCACACTGGAAGTAAGATATGGTAGGAAAGCGCCAAACCTCCCCTTTGGTGACCCTGACTTTGTAACTTCATCCAAGTAGTGACCATGTGATCGTGGTTACGGCCATCAGGTGTGACAAGGCAAGAGAAAAACCCAAGAGAATCTGCAGGTTAAAACCAGATGTTTCTGGTGCTGGGTCAGTTATACCATTTGGAAGTAAAGGCTCTAGGAATGAATGTGTCAACCTTGCTTTACAAGGATTATGTGGATTGTGACAGGCTTTCAAGTCAACATCCACTGATTTTAGTATTCTGGTGCGATGTGAAATTTAGTTTCAAAATCAGCCTCCTCAAATAGATCCTCTTTTGAATAGGCCAGTGAAGATCAAACACAAATGCTCTGACCAGGTGTTTGCTCTACAGTTCTGAGGTACATCACACACAAGATGGCAATGGCACTTCTGTAGGGAACACGGCTATAGTTAATGGAAGTGCACTTCTGGCTCAATCCAGTTCCATCACTCAATAATTCACAAAATATCTGCTGCTCTTAATTTGGCACTGTTTAAAAGCTACATTGGCTCTCTCATAACCCTTGTGAGTGAAACGAAACTATAATTACACACCAGAGCAAACTTACATTGATGAAAAGAGCAAAGTAATAGTATTTCAACAAGAATAGTTTCATAAAATCACTACAGCATCTCTAACCAGTCCTGTACCTTCAGCATCCTCTAACATATTTTCAAAAGAGAAGTAGCATTAAAAAAATTACCTTGCATAAGTCATAATTTTTGGCAGTAAATGCAAATGTCTGTCATCTCCACAGCTGTGCTGTCTGTTTTAATCTTGTCACAGAGTAATTTGCTACTGCAACACTGCAGTAGGAAAGTGTTATGTTCCTATACATGCCAGATGTGAAGCAAGACAGGATAGAATCTCTACTTTGTTTTTCTGAAGAATTACTACTGGTTACTAAAGATCTTTTGGCAAATTTGATAGATACAGCTTGATGCTATTTTTAGCTTCCTGGTTTCTTTGCCATATTCTAGTTCTGGTAATTATGCATTTTTGTTGGAAATATTCCTGCATTTTCTTCTAGATGTTCCATTCCTGCTACACCCTATTATCTCTGCTACATTTCATCATAGAAGCATTATCCTTTTAATGAGTAATGGTATTATTAGTTTTGTTAATATCACATTTTCCTTAACTGAAAACTAGAAATGGAGTATTATGAAATCACTAACAAAAATGAGTGTTGTTACTAATGCTTTTTAGAACTCTTCCAGCAGAAAAGCTGAGCTCATGGTTAGCTCTTTGGCAGCATTACTGCTAGAGGCTCCTGCCCTGCAAATACCTTTGCACAAGGCTGATTATTAGGTGAACCAAACGGGGAAACTGATCTACCTGGAAAGTAACCCAGAAAGGAAAATCCATGAGATTTTGCAGCCAAGTTCCTTATTTCATTCCGGACACAAACACGAATTAAGCTTCCAGAGATACA